GGTGTATGTGGCTGGTGCCTTAGCCGCTTGAGCCACAGGCGCTGAGCCGTGTCCATCGTGGATATTTTTCACAGAGAGCAATGGGTTTCTCTGACACTCTAGTTCCACAGCTTGGTGTCCGTTGTGAGCTGAACTCAGACACTCACTCAGTTCTCTTCTCCAACAAACACTCTGCCTCACACACATTTCTGGTTCTACATCTCTGGACTTTGGGACTCTTGGCTGCTGTCTCTGCAGCCAGAATGCCACTGTTCCCCTTGTCACCTGGTCATTTAAGGCCGAGCTCCAGCCTGCCCCTTTGAGTTTGCTTTCCCTAACCACACTGATACAGATGCTTCCCTCCCCACACAGGCCTTCCATGTCCTGGGCTTACCTCTACCCTTGCCACATTGCTACCACTTCCTGCCTTCCCTGCCTGGCCGTGAGCTCCCTATGGGCAGGATAACTTGTCTAAGTCAGATTACCGAAGTGGCACTGGAGACAGCCCCACCTGGGTATGAACTGCCTGTTCCTCCACTGGCTACCTGTGTAAGGCAAATTGTTTTAGTTCTTCTGTACCTCATTTTTCTTATCTGTAAAATGAGCGTTATGATAGAGCTGTGTTGAGAACGTATTCATCAGCGTTCTCCAGAGAGACAGAACCAACAGGGTGTGTATATAAATGGAGATTTATCATGAGGAGTTGGCTCACAAGATTACAGAGGATGGGAAGTCCCACCATCAACCATCTGCCAGCTGGAGGTGCAGGAAAGCCAGGGTGTAATTCTGTCCAAGTCGGAAGGTCTGAGAACCAGGGGAGCTGAGGATGTAAATTCCAGTCCAAGGGCAGGAGAAGATGAGCTATGATGCCCCAGGCCTCATGCAGTGAAGCAGATAAGAACAGACAAGCTCCTCCTTCCTCCACCTCTCATTCCGCATCTCGGGCCCTCAGCAGATTGGAGGATGTCCACCCACACTAGGAGAGCAGGTCTTCCTTCTTTCAGTTACCCACATAAATGCTAATCTCATCTCACCCGCACAGACACACACAGAATTAATGTTTTACCAGATATCTGGGCATCCCCTGATCCAGACAAGTTGACACATGAAACCATCACAGAAGGTGAACTGAGATGGAACCTGGCAGAAACTTGGAACAGTGCCTGACACCCTTCAAGGGCCTGCTGAGTGTTTTTGTCTATATATTATGAGAGTCTGGCACACCAGAGGTACTCAGTTATTGCCACCTGAATTAGTAAAATGATAGGCTACAACTCAGACTACTCTAAGGGAAGCCGGCGTGGGTCTTCACTATTGAGACAGAATCTTGCTTTGTTGCCCTGGTTAGGTGCCATGGTATTGTCATAGCAACCTCAAACCCTTGGGCTCCAGGAGATCCTCTTGCCTCAGCCTCCTGAGTAAAACTGGGACTATAAGCACCCACCAAAACGCCTGACTAGTTTTTCTATTTTTAGAAGAGATGGGGTCTCACTCTTGCTCAGGCTGGTCTCCAGCTCCTGAGCTCAAGCAATCCACCTGCCTCAGCCTCCCAGAGTGCTAGGATTACAGTGTGAGCCACCACACCCAGCCTATCCAGGCACATTTAAATGGTCCCCGCAAAAGGAACTGAGAACAAAACTTGTTTATCATCATCAAAGAGGAAGCAAAGTACTGTGTCTGGGGTGGTTTTCTCTTCAGACCTTTTCGTCCAGGGGACAGCTCCAGATTCCTATAAGAGGCTACCCTCCTGGCTGTAAGAACATTTAAGGAATTCCCAAAAGGACTGCCCTTACCAGAGCAGCTTTGAAGTAGTTTGAGATCCCATCAGAACAACAATCATAAAATTCCTAACATGGTTTTGGGCACTTACTATGTGCCATTGATTCCTAAATGGCAGCAATTCTTCCTTCCTCCTCTCTAGCCCCAATGGATGTTTACCAACGTCTGGAGACTTTTTTTATCACCACTGTGGGGCTGCTACTGTCAGCAGGTGGAGACTGGGGTGCTGATAAGCATGCTATACTGCACAGGACAGCCCCCAGAACAAAGAATTTTCTGTCCTAAAAATGTCAACATCAATGTTGAGAAACTCCATTCCATTTCAAGGCAGTGAGCCTTGTAGGTGTCATCTCATTTAATCATAACGATGATACATGTATGAGTAAGACAGTGTTTTTAACATCAATGCCCCCATTTTCCAGATGAGGAAACTAAGGCTCAGGTATGCAAATTGCCCACATCACTCAGCTGGAAAGTGGAGGAGAACTGATTCAAATCAGGCAGCCCAACTGTCCTCGCAGCTATCACATACTGGGGCCACCGCAAGCTTGAAACCTACATGGTGTAACAGACAGAACCCTGGTTCTGTCATCAGCTGGACCTGGGCTGGAAGTCTTGCTTGGTCAGTCGGTGGACACATGACCTTGGACACAGTGTCTGGAAACTCTCTAAGCTTCTATTTTCCCATCTGTAAAATAGGGGCATGGTGCCCACCTTACAGGGTTATTACAGGTAAAATCTGACAATGACTGCAAAGTGCCTGACAGACAGGCTGATGCTCCTTGAACAGTAGCTGCCACTGCTGCTGCTGTTGTTGTCATTGTTGACATCACTATTATTATTCCCATCGCCTTGGAGCCGGAGGCCCGGATTCCCTCCCACCCGATCCTAAGGAAACAAGAACTCAGTTTTGTAGCTGGTCCCAGTGCGCCAGCTGGCACTCAGAAACCAGTGGGCTGCTGCCTTCCCAATGCCAGATTTCTCCCTTGCAGAAGGGAGCTGGTGCTTCAGGAGGCTGCAATAGCTCCCCAGGAAAGAGATGAGCTGCTCAGGTCCTCACCAAGAGCCAGAGTCATGAATGTGACCTGGAGCAGACGGCTGGGCCAACCTGGCTGTGCCCTCTCCCCTGGGGGACAGCATTCATCCTGGTCCCTCTGTTGAGAAGCACCAGGACCCTTCAAGGCAGAAACCAGTAATCGATTGGACCTGTCCTCAGAGGCTCTGTTCCCCAGCACAGGCAGGGACTCCGAGGGGAAAGCAGAATTCTTTAAAGAGA